CTTTACAGTTAAAAAAAGATTTACCCTTTTTACCTTTGATTTACTTTAAGGCATTATTTGTTATATTTAGTCACTCTTGTGATCCTTCTAATTTGTATTCATTTCTAAAATGAATTTTTTCTTTTACTTCTATTTTGAGTTATTTTATCTTTTCTTGAGTTGCATAATTGTGATTTATTTTGCTCTTTCATGTCTTGAATTTTTATGTCTTTTAGCTTGTTTTGAAATAGAAATTTACAATTTTGATCTGTTCCAAAGGACTGTTTTTCATTATCTGTGAAGATATTATTCTGCTCCTTATTCCCTTTTTTCTTAAAATAACGGGTTGTGACCTTGATACGTTTCTGTTGCTAATTTTTATATGAAATTAGTTTTCCCGAACTTTAAAAAGGGATCATGGTTCAGGATAACTTTTCTAATTCACAGAGCTCCCTCTTCTGTTGTTTTTGTAAAATGTTTAAAAATATGGTGGCTTCCTTTCCCCTTTGCCACTTTTATCTGAACCTTACTTTCCTTGTCTCTATTGTCCCTGTTCTGCTCAATTTTGGTTCCACTCCCAGCAGCTTTCCCTCAGTTTGGAGCCCTATGCTGGAAGGTAGCTTTGGTTGGTAGGTTGGTTTTAAAAATATGTATGGCTCAGACTGTTCCAGGAGCTTACCCTGCTCTCAGTTGTTATTGGACTAAGCCAAACCATTCCCATTTCCAGCTTCTCTCCTTCAGTTGGCCTCTATACTGTCCAGTGAATACCTAATAGCTCTTTTGGTGCCCCCTTTGTTTCCTGATGTATCCTTCTGCACAGATGCTGATTCCATGCAGGTCTTGTGGCTCTTGGTGGTCTTCCCCAGACTTATTTTGGGGTTCGTGTGGCTACTGTGTAACCTACTTTTGTTGCAAATGTTGCCCATGGGATTTTGGTTTTGTTGTCTTAGTCACTCTGATTTTAGGTGGTGATTCAGGGAGATTAAAAATCTTTGTTGCAGTATTTGTCATCTACCTTGAATCCATTCTACATTCATGTCTTAAAAACTCTCCTGTGTGGACTTAGAGTTTGTGACCCCTGGCTTGTGGTGTGTTTACTGTATTTGTGCTTTGTTCTGAAGCTTTAGTTCAAATGTGCTATTAATCTGTTTGTGTTTGGATATTGCAAAACCTATCAATGTAGAAATAGTTTTAAAAAATCACTGTATCATTATAGTGGAAATGAAAATATTTACAGATTGTAGCAAAGTTGAAAGTGATGCAAAATGCATGTATTTGTGGAATGAATTCATCTACAGCAGGAACTTTCTGAAGACCAAAGAGCAAATTGCGCAACCTGTAAAATGCTTTTCTTGTGTCATTGAAGATAATCAGCAAGAGACAAGGAAAAGTGACTGATGAGATAGGGGTAACCATCAATGCCTGATTGTTGGGGATTTAAAGTTTATTCAGGGAAAGCAAGGAGGTGATCAAATAATTAAAACCTTAAAACAATGAAAGTGCTTCTGTTGAACTTTCCCCACAAGCCACACAGGGTTTTTTAATTCAGAGCTCCTTACTCAACTGTTCAACATCAAAATGAATGTCTGGTGGCTAATGCAAACACTAGAGCTGCTAGGATGATCCTTAGGCTACTGGGAAAGAAAGGTAGTTAAGGCTTCAACAGATTCTTTATATATATTTTTTAATGTGGTCAAAACTTACTTCTTTTAAGGGGCCAGAATAAAAGCCTGATAGAAGAAGGTTTATCAGCATGGAGGAGAGGATGTATCTGGTTTGAATTTGACAAAGGATCGAGTAATATATCTATTTGCTGGAAATGTACCCAGGGACTATAGGCATAGTCCCTTTCTAGGCTCTTGCAAACAGTTTAACATTTATTTATTTATGTATTTATTTAGAGACAGAGTCTCTGTCGCCCAGGCTGGAGTGCAGTGGTACCATCTCAGCTCACTGCAACCTCTGCCTCCCGGATTCAAACGATTCTCCTGTCTCAGCCTCCCACCCCAAGTAGCTGGGATAACAAGCACACATCACCATGCCCAGCTAATTTTTTGTATTTTTAGTAGAGATGGGGTTCCACCATGTTGGCCAGGCTAGTCTCAAACTCCTGACCTCAGGTCATCCACCAATTTTGACCTCCCAAACTTCTGGGATTACAGGCATGAGCTGCCATGCCTGGCCCAGTTTAACGTTTTTATACCTTTAGAAACCTAACCTGATGGTAAATAGAATAGCTCTATAGCTTCTATACATAATGTAGACTAAATAATGGTAAATTGTTTTATAGCAGGTACAGAATCATTAGTTTTTTATATCAATCTTTAAAAACAACCAAGGGCAAAAGGTTAAATTATATAAATGAAAATGTTTTCGTAGAGAACTAAACTAACATGCTGTAGCTGTATACAAGTACAGAGGGTCGGGGGTATAAATGGAAAAGTTAGTGTGACTGTAAAGGATGCAGAAGGAAAAGAATGGGGGTGATTAAATTGTGAGGGAACCAGGATGAAATCCTGTAGGTCTACAATAGTAAGGACTTTGGATTTTATTTTAAAGTGTTTGAAAGCCATTAGGAGGTTGAAAGCAGAATGAGCAACTGATGTAAATTATATGTTCAAGCTAAATGGAGGCCAAAGGTACTATGGTATGCTTTGGACAGTAATATAGACATGTCAAAATGAAAAGAACCTGGGTTAATATTGATGTAAGAAAAAAATTTTTTTTTGAGACGGGTTCATGCTGTTGCCCAGGCTGCAGCATAGTAGTGTGATTATGGCTCATGGCAACCTCGACCTCCCAGAATTCAAGCTATTCTCCCAGCTCAGCCTCCTGAGTAGCTGGGACTACAGGCCTGTATCACCATGCCCAGCTGATTCTTTGTAACTTTTGTAGGGATGGGGGTCTCACTTTGCTGCCCAGGCTGGTCTTGAACTCCTGGGCTCAAGTGATTCTCCTGCCTTGGCCTCCTGAAGTGCTGAGATGACAGGCATGAGCCACTGTGTCTGGGCCTTGATGTAAAATCTTTTAAATTTGAAAATATGTTGTCATTTTAGAGTTACATAAGAGCTACAAACATGAGTTACTGATACATACATATATATTGTGTATACATACATATTTCTTTTTGCTTTTTAACAAAGTGTTGCTAAACAGTACTGAACCTTATTTCATGTATTCTTTATTCTGTTCCATTTTATGTTTTTTTAAAAATGCTAGTTGCGTCTCACTAAATTGACTTAGTAACCCGCAAATGTATTGAAAACTACTATAAATATTATATAATCCCCTTATTTAACTTGTTCAGACATATATTACTGAAAATAACCAGACCAGAATCCAGATATTACCGCATTTCCCAAGAATATATTTATTGGAAAAAAAAAAAAAACTCTTATACAATGTAACATTAATGTATAGGCCAATGTAGAGGCCGGGCGTGGTGGCTCACGCCTGTAATCCAAGCACTTTGGAGGCCAAGGTGGGCAGATCACATAAGGTCGGGAGTTCAAGACCAGCCTGACCAACATGGTGAAACCCTGTCTTTATTTAAAAAAAAAAAAAAAAAAATTCCAATGTAGAAAAAATTTTGAGGGTAAATATTCCTACTTGAAAGTATTGTTTGTCCTTATCTCCCTGGGTGAAATGTTAAGTCTTGTAAGTTTCAAATGTATTTAAAATATCAACATAATTTTCTTAATGGTCTGTAATTAAATATACAAACTGCTAATCAAAGTAACAGTTGATCTATTTTGAATTATAAGCAGAGAATAAGTAACTTATAGACAGCCTGGTGGCCTTTAAATTGTCAGCTAAGAATTTGAAATGAAATGTCATTTGAACATTTTTCTGCAAATTGCATCTTAGTCTTTAGTTGTAAATTATTTTGGAAGAGAGCTGTGGGAGGGTTGAAGGATAAATGAAACATAAAGGTTGGTGTGAAATAATGAGGAAAAAAATGGCCTTTTTAATTTTCTTATTTGAACCCTTGCCTCTCTGTTCCCCAGTTCTGTGACTTTTAGAAAGATACTTAATCTGCCTGCATCTCACTTTTCTCATTTATAAATGAAAGTAGTAATATCTTTTTTTGTTTGCTTTTGAGACAGAGTCTCTATCTGTAGTCCAGCTGGAGTGCAGGGGCACGATCTTGGCTCACTGCAACCTCCACCTCCTGGGTTCAAGCGATTCTTCTGCCTAAGCCTCCCAGGTAACTGGGATTATAGGCGCGCACCACCATGCTCCACCAAGTTGGCCAGTCTGGTCTCGAACCCCTGACCTCAAGTGATCCACCCGCCTTGGCCCCCCCAAAGTGCTGGGATTATAGGCATGAGCCACCACACTTGGCCTAAAGTACTGATAGCTTTATCATAGCTTTAATATTAAGTGAGGGCCTAATGGTAAAAGTATATTTTGATATATAGTGTATTAGGTGTCTTACTTTTCTTCCTTAGGCTGACATTTTTAAAGGATTTTTAAGTGATAAATAGGTAGGCTTCCAGTGCCTCCTGCCATCCTTTCCATTTTTAAAGAGGGAGGGTTACCCAAGTGATGGGTAACCATCACTTTATTGCCAAATAATATTCAGTTATATAAATATCTTCCACATTTGTTTATTCGCCCATCAGTTGATGGACAGTTGGATTATTTTCCCTTTTTGGCTGTTACAAATAATGCTAATATTTGTGTAGAAGTTTTTGTGGGGACATATGTTTTTAGTTCTCTTGGATATATACGTAGGAGTGCAATTGCTGAGTCGTATACTAACTTTATGTTTAACATTTTGAGGACCTGAGAAACTTTTTCAAAGAGGTTATACCACTTTGCATAGCTGAATTTTAAATCACCTAGTTTTAGGATTCTAATTTCATACATGTTAAAGGAGTACCTTAGCCGAAACGAGTGGTTTGAATTAATAGGGGAAAAATTCACCTGCAGTAGTTGGCAAAGCTGAAAGCACTTTTTAAAAAAATACATTTCGAATTATTACTATTAATATTTGGCCTTTTTTTTTGTTGTTGCAGTTTTATCTTCAAGACACTAAAAGTAGTAATGGTACTTTTATAAATAGCCAGAGATTGAGTCGAGGCTCCGAAGAAAGTCCACCATGTGAAATTCTTTCCGGTGACATTATCCAGTTTGGGGTAGACGTGACAGAGAATACACGGAAAGGTACGGGTATGGATCACTTTTTTTATTACTTATCTTTTAAAGGCTATTTAACATTTTATTCTGTTAATTGATGTTACAAAACATTACATGCTTATGAAAGCAATTTAAATACAGCACGATATGCAGTGAAAAGTTAAAAGTCTTATACTTTCCCTATTGCTCTTCTAAAATTTTAAATTCTGAAGTGTTAATTAGTAATTTATATTCTTCATCACAGTTAGGAAGCAATTGGCTGCAATGACAACATACCCAATCTGGACAAGCTTAAACCACAGGATATTTGTTATTGATAATGAGACTTAATGAGAGATCTGGAAGCAGATAGGTTCATTTGTTTAGCTGACTCAGTGCTATCATCAGGGACCCAGGGTCTTACTATCTCAGTTTCTCATGCTTTTACTTGTTGCTTCATGGTCATAAGATGATGGCTGCAAGCCCCAGGCATCATTTTCCTCACACTAGTATCCTAGGCAAGAAGGATGAGGCAGGGACAAAAAGACCTTCTTGTGTAGCTGTCTTTTATGTTGAAAGAACAATCTTTTGCAGATTCCAGCCAGCAGATTTCTCTTCAGGTCTCACTGGCCACATGGGTAGGTCACATACACAGTTAACTGCAGCTACAAGGAAGTCTGTTAAAGTTACTTAAGATAGTGAAGGGGAACAAGATCTATGATTGACATAAATCAATTTTTATTTATTCCTTCAGATTGTGTGTGTATTGTTACCCCAAACAAAATTAGAGTTCTCTTAGCAAGAAAGAAGATGGAAAGGCAGTAGAGGTAGGCAGCTAATAGCAGCTATCACAAGTATAAAATAAAATTTAATGTCTCACAATTTTTGAAACCTGAATGTTCTTTAGCTAAATAAATGTTAATTGATCTTTGTTTTTACAATTCAGAAGCTTCCTGCCTCTACCTAATTCACTGTCTATTTATGACCACTAAATTGTATAGCTAAATCATAAAACTAAATGGATAGAAACCATACTTGGTTTAGTTTAGTTTAGTTCCATTTTGTTAGTTTAATTTGGACAGTGCAACCATTTGGCAAGTTTCACCTTTTATTTGCCTGAGCATACTCTGATCCGGTGATACTGGTTAGAGTCACCAGACTCTGACATTTTGCATAGTAAAAGTGGCGATGGTGGTGATGATGATGATAATGCTGATGATGCTGGTGTGTGTGTGTTCATGTGCATATTTATGCATGTACTTTCAGTGCCATTGCAACAGCAGTATAATTTTTAATGGTTTTTTTTTTTTTTTTTTGCCTCAGAAAGTCAGGGTTTTTTTTTGGTTTTTGTTTTTTGAGATGGAGTCTTGCTGTGTTGCCCAGGCTGGAGTGTAGTGGTGCAACCTTGGCTCACCGCAACCTCCGCCTCCTGGGTTCAAGTGATTCTCCTGACTCAGCCTCCCGAGTAGTTGGGACTACAGGTGTGCACCACCATGCCCAGCTAATTTTTTGTATTTTTAGTAGAAACGAGGTTTCACCGTCTTAGCCAGGATGGTTTTGATCTCCTGACTTCATGATCCGCCTGCCTGCCTTGGCCTCCCAAAGTGCTGGGATTACAGGCATGAGCCACCCTGGCCAGAAAGTTAGGTTTTGATATTTGAATCTGGGTAGAGCCATCATCTTAGGAATTTCCATTTACAATTGTAAAGTAAAAAAGAAAGATTTGTATTTTAGTGCAAAATATTGATGCTCCTTACTAAGAGAATTCAACTTATATAGTACTATACGGGGAACAACTACAATAGACACTCATATCTGTTGTTACCATATCACACCTCCAAGTCATTTAGCAAACAGTAAACTGAGGTCATTAACCCATAGAGAAGAAGAGAATTTGATTACATTTTCTTTATCTCCAAGGAATGTTTGTCTTTTGGTTTGCATTTCCCAAAGAGAATTATTAGGTGTTGATTGATAAAAAGGATGAGGTAATGAAAAATACATTTAAAGAATACTTAGTTAAGATAAGTAGGACTTCTTAGAGCCTTTAATATGCTAACATTTATGAAGATTTCCAAGGAGGTGGCCATTATTGAATGCAACTCTTTCCAAACTCCTTTCCACTCTTCTTTCCCATCTATCTGTGAGGAATACTCTTTAGAAAATGCTGTATATAGAAACCTAATAAGATGACCCTGAGATTTCAGGGTTCTTAGTATAATCTTATTTTAGTAACATTAGAATTTTACAGTCTTCTGTGAAATTTTACCTATCTTTTATGTCAACATTAAGGAGATTAGATTTAAAAAGACTTCCATCATTTAAAATGTTGTTTCTTTTGCTACTTACTGGCTTAAAAAAGTTGATTTCTGTTAAGCATGGGCTCTCGGGATACAGTTGTGTGACCAGTTGAGTATTACCTGTTTAAGGATATACCAGAAAAAAAATACAGATTTTTGTTCTATGCTAAACAGTGCTTTGGTAAGCTTTTGTATTACTTGGAGAATTCTCCTGAAATTATGCAACACTGCTAGAAAACCGTTGGATCAAAGAAGAAATATCAAAAGGGAAATTTCACACTATATTGTAAAGAGAGGAGACTTTTATGCCAAAATACAGTAAGTAGATAAAAATAATCTTAAATTACATTTGTGTTAAAGAAGAAAGACAATTAAGAAATCTGACACTAATCAGAAGAAATTAGAAAAAGAATAAATAAGAGAAGCTGAAGAGGAAAAATAAAAAGCAGAAATTAATGAAACAGTTACAAAAATTTTTACAAGGGATAAACAAACCCAGATGCTGGCTCTTTTTTTAATAAAAAGAAAACAAACTGTGAACAAGGTAATTAATAAATCATGATGCATTAAGTTGAAAATACTAGCAAAAATATGCAAGATGAGAAATGAGAAAGGAGAAATAAAACACAAATATAGGATATACTAAAAGAATTCTAAGAGAATCTTATACAGCTACCTATGGCAAAGAGAAAAGAAAAAAATAGAGTAAATTGATGTTTTCCTAGCACAATTATCCCAAGAAGTAGACAAATTTGAATAATCAATTTTTTTTAAAAAGAGACTAAAAAGTTATTAAAGATTCACCATTGAAAAGAAACCAGAAACAGTGGGATTTACAGATGAATTTGATCTTATTTTAAAAAGCAGATAAACCCTATGTTATTTAAGTAATTCCAAACATAAAGCTGGAAAGCTCTTAGAATCCTTTAAAGAACCTATTATATCATTAATGTGAAAATCTGATAAGTATATAGATACAAAAAGAAAACTATAATTAATTTTATTTATACCAATAAATGAAAAATTTCAATTAAGATACTAGACCAGGACTTGACACAGTGGCTTATACCTATAATCCTAACACTTTGGGAATCTGAGGCGGACAGATTGCTTGAGCCCAGTAGGTTGAATCCAGCCTGGGCAACATGGTGAAACCCCACCTCTACCAAAAATGCAAGAATCAGCTGGGTATGGTGGCACACACCTGTAGTCCCAGCTGTTCGGGAGACTGGGGTTAGAGGATGGCTTGAGCCTGGGAGGCAGAGGTTGTAGTGAGCCATGACCACACCACTGCATTCTAGCCTAAGCAACAGAACCAGACCTTGTCTTTAAAAAAAAAAAAAAAAATGCTATTAGGTCAGACATAGTGGCTCACACCTGTAATTCCAGCTCTTTGGGAGGCTGAAGTGGAAGGATCCCTTGAGCCCAGGAGTTCAAACCAGCCTGGGCAATATAGGGAGACCCTGTCTCTACCCCCAACCTGCCACCCAATTTTTTTTAAATTAGCTGTGGGCATGGTGGCATGCACTTGTCTCATCTACTCCAGAGGCTGAGATGGAAGGATCACTTCACTTGAACCCAGGAAGTTGAGGCTGCAGTGAGCCCTGATTGTGCCATTGTCTCAAAAAACCAACAAAAATATTAGTAAATTAAATTCAGAAATAAAACTAGAATAAACAACAAAGTAGGGTTTATTCCAGAAATGCCAAGATGATTCAATATCATCAGGCAATCTGTCAACATAATCCACAAACTAATGTAGGAAGACCATGTAAAGTAGGAAACCATAGTTGTGTCACCGAATAACCAGAGATGTTGAAAAGGCATTTGTTCAAATTTAGGAGTTACCCCTAGTAAAAACTCTAAATAAACAGGATGAAAAGAAAACTAAGTAAAATAAAAATGTTAAGTAAAATAGAATAAAAATAACAAAATACTATACAGCTGTGAAAATATATGGACTAGATTTGCATATATAAACAAAGATAAATTTTAAACCTTATCTCAAGCAAATTATGGAAGGATTTGTGTGCTTTTTTTTTTTTTTTTTTTTTTGAGATGGAGTATAGTGGCACCATCTTGGCTTGTGGCAGCCTCCACCTCCCGGGTTCAAGCAATTCTCCTGTCTCAGCCTCCCTAGTAGCTGGGACTATAGGTGCCCGCCACCATGCCCAGCTAATTTTTGTATTATTAGTAGAGCCGGGATTTCACCATATTGGTCAGGCTGGTCTCAAACTCCTGACCTCTGGTGATCCGCCCACTTTGGCCTCCCAAAGTGCTGGGATTACAGGCATGAGCCACCACGCCCAGCCTATATACTGCTTTTGAATATATTTATAATAAAGTATATTTGTATACATGTGAATGATAAATAGATTGTGAGGATTTATGAAAGGATGTTTTTTGGCATCAGTGTGTATCATACTAAAAACAATGGAAGCATAATTTTAAAACTCCCCATTTTGTAGGTATTAAAAAGAATAAATTAGAATTATGTGAATTGCAGGGATTTCTATAAGATATATTGTTGAGTAAAAATAGAATCAATTGTTTTAAATAATTTCATTATTTAAAATAGTCTCACCAATCCCTATAAATATATATATATTAGAAATATATCTAGGTCTTTAATGTGAGTCATCCAGGAATGTGGGTGGGATGGAGGAAGGAATAGAGGAGAAAAGGGAGCCAAATTAAAAGGGAAAGGTTACTAGAACTGTAATTAAAAAATCACCCAGTATGTAGGATTTTTTG